TTGTGAGATTCAACTGGTAGTGTTATTGCCAGTTGATTATATCGCGTTTATCGCTAAAGCTATAAAGTAAATGTTGACTCCGATAACGTTGTGCTCTGTCCGTAAAATAATCTTTATATTTACAGAGATAATACTATTCTACCAATCGGAGATATTACTATAATACCAATCGGTGTGCGCTTTGAGTCATGCGTTTTAACCATTTCATTTTGAATATTTTTCCTGAAAATATAAGTATGCACGACTCTGTAAACATAAAACGAAAAGTGAATTTCCTTGGATTTTTTAACATAATAAACGAATACAGAAACCCTCCAAAAAACCTTTCAAAATGCGTATTTTGGGGTATATAGAATGGTTCCTGAATAGTTTTATGGAGGGATCATAAACGGTTAAAAAGGGTTCGTAACTGGTTGCAAATGCTAGAAACTTTTTTCCGTTCTTTGCGGCACCTCTTTTTTACAGTGTATTTTTATATATTTTAGTGTCATAATTAAGAAGTTTTTCACTTTTCACTTTATTCCCTTTCTAAATTTGTGTGTATAAAACGGAAAGAAATCAACCAGAAAGAAAAATGACATTACAAGCAGAACGAACAGAGTGCGGCATGTTCGAAGTTGAACGATGAACTATACTGTTGAATACAGTGGTACTTTGAGTGGGACTCCTAAGACCCCATTTTTGCGTGTACCCCGACAAGATCTTTGCGCCGTACAACGCATACTGATTTCGAATACGTAAAAATCCCAAATACCGCTCCTCTAAAAAAAATCATCAAATTTTGATATGCTTTTTATGACATTGTTTTCCACTAATTCCTCTCTTATAAGAAAGTTTGAATAAGATTTATCCTCTGGAAGAATAATTTTTACTACCTTATAGTTTTTACACGTTTGAACACATTACCTCTGACTGTAATGAACCGAAGAGAAAGCCGGTAAGTCATGGTGGTCAGAAAGAGTTTATTTAACTGTTGAATATAAGAGAAGAAAGTTGTTTATGATTTGTCAAACGTTAATCACCAATATTGAGAGCTACATGTCTCAAAAACTAAGAAGGGTCTTTTTTAGAAAATACATCAGTATATAGTACAACTTGTGTACTTCAAACTAATATAACAATTGGAGATGGACCCTCTCTAGTTCATTTAATTTTAATCTGAGAAGTTGGCAGAATATCGGCTGAGCACTGCTTCTTTCGGACATCGAATAAATGAATATATAGATTAAAATAGCAAATTTGTTCTTTTCTATAAAGAGAAATAAAGTGCTGTGCACATACATACGAGCACATAAGAAAAAAATATGTGCAGGAAGAAAAATCAGATCAAAGAAAAGAAAGTTGAACGCAATGTGTTTGATGTCTACTGTTGAATATAGTGTAATATACCGTGAAAACCTCCAACGGAGCCATCGGGTCCAAAAAATCGAGAGGGTCCCAACGAGATCTTTGCGCCGTACAACGTAACTCGTCGCGCTGATTCCGAATATGTAAAAATCCTGAGGTACTCTAGTCTAGAAAAACCATCAAATTTTGATATGCTGTGTATTGCGATGAAGTCTTCATTATTTTACTGACGAAACTTGACTTACTTCAACGTATTTATATGCAAGACTCTTAAATACAATATGACAGAAATCACAAGTGTAGCTTTCTATACTACTATCGATGCGAAAATACAAGAGCGGTGGCTATTTCTTGAATAGCTCCGTCACCTCAATGGATAACGACCTGCGGTTTTCAGCAATCGAAACTAGACGCTTAAAGTGAACTTTTCACAAGCAAAAATACTTTTGAAAAAGCTTGGAAGGTCGGTTTTTCAGAGGGTCTTTGAAAAGCCAGCTCCTTTCTCAGAAAACTAACATACAAAGTTAGTAACCTTTTTGCATGCGTAGGTAGTTCGAACGTTACTCTACAAAATTATGCAAGTTCCAGCTCTTCAACTTCCGTCGTTCAGACAGCACCCGCTTTCCCCGAGCGCGGGGTCTGTCTACGAGCAGACGTCTCGGGGAATCTCAAAATGCCATGGAGTATAGGTAACCGACTAGGCTGAGCATAGTGACAATATTTGTTTTTGAGTAGAAAAGAAAATAACTTCGACAGAGGCGTTAAAATTATCTAAAGTCATCTCTACATGCTAATAATGATCTTTACATCATTTGTTTTTGTTTGAGAGCTTTTTCATTTCTTTTTAGATTTTGCTGTTTGTCTTTTCATCTTACAAAAGGATAGAACACTTTTTTAGCCAAATATAACAGTTATTTCGAGATATTACAAAAAATTCATCATTTCAATCCCTAACAGTCTTATTTTCTACTGAAAAAGTTATTCAGTGTCGTTTGCTTCAAACTAGTCGATTTTCTTAGTAGCAGAAGTTTTCTTTTATAAACATCATCAATTCAATTCTTTGTCATATATATCATCTTTTATTCATGAAAAGTTCCAGACAAGTCATGTCTAATCTACGACGATCCTTATTTGTCGCTGAAAGTTTTGTTTTTATCTATTTTAATCCAAATAAACTTGAAAATCAAGAATTTATTTCGCGATGGTGTGATAGCTTGCTTTATCCGATACAAACATTCGATGATATGGATTTATGCGTTGATTATCTGACTGATTTGCGCGATCAAGTATTCCTTATTTTAGCTGATATATCGTGTGAAACGGTTGTTCCACTCATTCATGATTTACCTCAACTTGTCCATATTTACATCGTATGTGAAAAAATCACCGAAGAGGAAGATTGGATGAAGTCTTGGAAAAAAATTCAGATCATTTCGAATGATACTGTAGTAATGTTTGATCAATTTCATCGTCATGTCCGACATGCGAGTGAGAGTTCAGTTCCCGTCAGCGTTACTAAACCATCATCGCCAACAAATCCAAACAAACTCGATCCCTCATTCATGTATTCTCTATTATTAAAAGAGGTCATCCTCCAATTCGAGTATAATGAAAAGGCTAAGAAGCAATTCGTAGACTTTTCGCGAGAGAATGCTTCAAAATTCATGACTTCATTAGCGAAAATCGATGAATTCGAACAGCACTATACTTCTCAATCAGCAATATGGTGGTACACAAAGGAACCATTTATTTATTTCACAATGAATCATGCTTTGAGAACGAACAATGTTGACGTGATTATGAAAATGGATTTTTACATTCAAGATCTTTATCGAGAGCTAGAAAAGCTGCGATCAAATGCAGAGCAAAATACAAAGATAACTCTCTATCGAGGACAGGGCATGTCCATTACTGAATTTCAGTATGTACAATATGGCGAAGGTAGTTTTCTTTCATTTAACAGCTTCTTATCCACGAGTTGTACGAAATCTATATCTTATTTTTTTGCTGATGCTGCTCGACATAATCCGGATTTGGTCGGAGTTTTATTCATCATGGAAATCGATCCATCTTTCTCAACAGTACCATTCGCATCACTTGACGGTTTGAGTCATCATGGTGAGGAGCAGGAGATTTTATTTTCGATGAATACGATCTTTCGCATTGCCAAAACGGAAATCATCGACGATCGTTTATGGGAGGTGAATCTGATCTTGACCGATGATACTGACCCACAATTAACCGAACTCACGGAACATATTCGAAAAGTTACTGACGGATCAGGAGCAATTTGCCAATTGGGTTCCTTAATGATTGAAATGGGTCAACACGATCTAGCTGAAGTGTACTACGTTGAATTATTGGACAAATATGCCGCTGATAATAATTATGAATCACTTGCTCATATGCACAACCAAATGGGATATCTCTGCTACGATAAGAATGATCTATCAAGGGCAACTTTTCATGTCAATCGATGTCTTGAGATCATATCGCAGCATCTTCCATCAGATCATCCTATCCTTGCAGCAGTTTATAACAGTCAAGGAATGATTTTCAAACGAGGCAAGTAATATGAATTCGCTTTAGAAAGTTTTCAAAATGCTCTCGATTTTAATCTTCGTGATTCGCAATGTGATTCACTCAATGTGGCAGTTTTGTATAAGAACATTGCTGATGTATGGAAATGCAAAGGCGAGTATTCCTTAGCGCTCGAGAACTATGATCTTTCACTCGCATGGTGTGACAAAGGTGTCCCACAACTTCATTGTGTTCGAGCTGCCATTTACGGAGGCATTGCTTATGTGCATTCTCGGATGGGTGATAAGTCGATGGCATTATCTTACTATCGAAAAGCATTGGAAATACAGGAGAAATCACTCTCACCTGATCATCCATCGATAGCTACCAACCATGATAACATAGCATGCGTACTAGAATGTCTGAATCGATTCGAAGAAGCTGCTGAACATCTTCAACAAGCTGGTGGCATCAATCAATGCAGCTTCCATTCAGATCAGTGGTCGGACACTCACGAGGAAACTTCACCAACTGATTAATATTTTTGCCGTGCATATATCGGCCACGAGTACGGCTTAACGAGACCTAAATTTTTTGGCTGAGATCCAAACATTACAAGTTTAGGGCGAAATCTGAGTGTATCGCTTACTGTGCCTGAATTATGACACTAAAATATATAAAAATACACTGTAAAAAAGAGGTGCCGCAAAGAACGGAAAAACGTTTCTAGCATTTGCAACCAGTTACGAACCCGACAGTATGGAGAATTTGGCTTTGCAACAAAGCGAATTATTTCAAAATATTCTTCTAAATAGACAATACCGCTTTACTCGTATCTATCTGTTCCGTTCCATTTTACATTCAATAGTTTGTAGACGCATGTTGTAGGCTTTAACCGTTTAGTACCACCCAGTACTACCTACTACTACCCAGCACTATCTAGCACTACCTAGTACTACCAGTACTACCCGGTACGACCAGTATTACCCAGTACTACCTACTACCTAGTACTACCAGTAGTACCTAGTACTACCTTGTACTACCGGTACTAGCTTGTACTACCTTGTACTACCAGTACTACCTTGTACTACCAGTACTACCTTGTACTACCAGTAGTACCTAGTACTACCTTGTACTACCAGTAGTACCTAGTACTACCTTGTACTATCTTGTACTACCAGTACTACCTAGTACTACCAGTACTACCCGGTACGACCAGTACTACTAGTAGTACCTAGTACTACTCAGTACTACCTAGTACTATTCAGTAACTCAGTACTACCCGGTACTACCAGTACTACCTAGTACTACCCGGTACGACCAGTACTACCAGTAGTACCTAGTACTATTCAGTAACTCAGTGTTACCTGGTACTACGCGGTACTACCTACTACTACCCGGTACTACTCAATACTACCCGGTACTGCTCAGTACTACCTGATACTACTTAGTACTACCTAGTACTACCTAGTACTATTCAGTAACTCAGTATTACCTGGTACTACGCGGTACTACCTACTACTACCCGGTACTACTCAATACTACCCGGTACTACTCAGTACTACCTGATACTACCTAGTACTATTCAGTAACTCAGTACTACCCGGTACTACTTAGTACTACCTAGTACTACCAGTTCTAGAACTGTAATATCACACACATCTTGAAAATTGCATACTTTACGACTGGCTTTCTGGTGTCCGTCAGTTAAAAAAGCAGTAGAGCAATTCACCGGACATTTGTTTGTGAATTGTTTATGATTACACCAGAATTTAACAAATAAAGCATAAAAATGTCCATTATTTGTCCTGTAATAATGGTCATGTTCGGATGTTGAATAACCGGATGATATTTGAAATGTATGCTCATTAGTAGTCATGAATACAAATCTTGACAATTCAAACAAAAACCAATTATGTTGGTAAATCTTTGGATCAAGTTTTATTTTTTTATGTAATTTAAATAATGCTAATTCCTTCAAAATATAATCATATGCATCACTGAAACCATTGAATGTCATATATGACTTTAATAAATTTGCTGTAAATAGAACAAACACCTGTCGGTCAAATACGAATTCACCACCAAAATGTAAATATTGCGATTTCTCAATGATTTTATCTTGTACATATTTTATTTTAAGAACATTATCACGATAATAATTATGATAATAATTCATATGACAATTTTTGCAATTACCATGATATAACAGAGCATGTGTATTATAATCAATACCAATAACAGTGACATTAACGTATTTTGTTATTATTATTAGGTCGTTG